CTTATGAAATTTTGTGAGAAAATGAGTTTCTTCATTAACTCAATTATTTGAGAAATGTAAAAATACATATTTGAGATATTCTAAATGTAGGGAATTATGATATCCCTATGTATTGTTATTGATGATGAGATCAATGGTGCCTAATTAAAATTTTGTATAACATTCTTATTATACAATAAGGTATAATGATGCTTAATAAAGCAAATGTGATATACACTCCTATTGTACAATTATGGTATAATGGTATATAATGAAAATGAGTAAGACATTTTATTTGAATAGAAGGGATATGCTATCATGGACATTCCTATTGTATGATAAGGTACAATAGTATTTGAGTTAAAAATTCTTAAATACATGTCTCTACATGTATGAAAAGAAAATGGTGATTTACTAACTCGATTTGATATCAAAAATTATGGTACCATGAAATTTGAATTTTTTGACTAAGTAAACATGTAAGTTGATGTCAAAAGAAAAAGTGAGGAAATGAATGAGTTAAGTCTCTTTGTTACCCCCTATACCACCATCTAGACCTTTGGTAAAAACAAAAAGTTGAGGAAAAAAAATTATGATCATAGTCCAAGAACTAGTGCTTATCAAGGAGAATGGGCTTCAAGCGCTTATCAGGGAGAATGGGATTCAAGCCCAATAATGTAAAACCTCTTATGAGGATAGCCAATCCAAATTCTAAGAATTGGGTTTTGAATGGAAAAATAAATCATAGAGAAATCGTTGAAAGATGTATCGATATTTAATGAAAAAATTTTCAGTTTTATTCTTAAAGTGAGGATGCATCTACCCTGTAATGAATTGAGGGTTGGGTTTTATACTCTTAATAAAATTTGTAATTCAATGAGTGGGGTATCTTAGTTATGGAAGCACATTTAACAAATTTCACCTATGTGAGTGTCAAAGTGAAATTTGCTTCTATGAAAATTAGATGAGTAATTTTCTAAATCACTCAAAAACCAAAATCATGTGCAAGGTCATAATGAATCAGTTATGTAAAAAACTCAACATTCAGATCATTATGTGTGTGACGCGATTCTTGTATCTTTCAATAGTGGTCATAGTTTAAGATTTAGTTCACTTGATTTTGGATTAAAAATTGTTAACTCACTAAGTAAAGGTTCAAAACTTAATTACTTTTATTATGTATAATAATCCATCTTTGCTTAGAAGAAAATTTTATTTTTTATT